AGGATCGGAACAGTAAACTAACCATAAATAGTGAACTCTACATGGAATTCGAATAATACCGACTCGATCCCGTATCCAGTCACCGACAAAAGCTATTCAGACAGTGACTACAGAACAAAACTTTCCAGCAATAACCGTAAAAATAGCAGCAACGAATGTGGTTTCAATAAGTGCAAAACACCGACTGACTGTTACTTATAACCAGTTGTGGCTAACAGTGGAGTTCAGGACACTCATTTCATCCTATCCAGTACCCATCATTTGGATATACTCACATCCTTGTGAGTGGCACTGCTTCGGCGGAAACTCGAACCCAACCCTTATCGCTACAGACACTGTAGCATTAGCCACCAGGCCACTTGGTCGTGACAGCTACTATTTGTGAGACGGATACAGTGTGACGTTATTGCTTTTTGTTTCTTGTTCGTAGAATGGTTTTCTCAGTAGAAATAAGCGACACCCTAATTTGTATCCCTAGTATATATCTTGCATCTAAAGCCTAAAAAATGAGTGGTTCATATCTTTCCGAAAAATCGTTCGCTATTTAAAGGCCATTACAAGTTCTAAAATGGCTAAAAAGCCGATTAACAATTATTTTGACCAAGTCTCCTAAGGAGTTTTCAACACTTACTAATATAAGCTAGACTACCATTGAAAACCAGAGAGCATTAGTCATCTGCTTCATGATAGTTATAAACTCCTCAGCAGTGCATGTCCAAATATCATGAGGGATTGATGTCCAATCCCTAACTAACTTCAGTTTGAGATGGAAACCACTATAATATCATTCAATTCCTCACAAACGTAGAATAAAGAACTAAGCAGATGTAAAATCCCGCTTTTCCCGTTTTATTCGGTGGTTTCAATTTTCACTATTTTCTTTTTTCAGTTCGGGTGTGCATGATCATGCAGTAATATCGTATATAAGACGTAGCTTAAAAAATCACTTACCAAGCATTTTGATAAGTTGCACAAGTTACACACAGATGTGTGATGCTAATAAGTACCAGTTTTCGTTTAGCGTCTCAGTGTTAAAAGGAATACCATAGTGTTCCAAATTCTGAGCTAACCATTACACCTAGGATAACAGTGAATGCTTCATTACTCAACTTCTCAACTCAAAGTTCACAGCATCATCAAAACCTTCCTCTTCAGTTAAAAACATTTACCAGAATTTCATAATACTATAGTATGTATGGAGCCACAAAACACTGAAGAAATGTTTTTATTTAATTGTGACCTCACCTGTTAGTTAGGCTTCCTAGAAGACAGAAACAGTCATTAGATATTTATATCATTTTGATCTGACTGACAAGATCTTAAGGTCAGTACGACCCGCTGTTCTCGACATTTTAGTACATTCTATGAGCTTGGCTTAGTGTTAATCGACTGAAAGCATCATAACAACACAGTTAGTTATCTTAAACATTCCTCAACCGTGAAATATGTCAACATGGACAATGTTATCCTCATACATCTCAGAGATTGATTATCCACTTCATGGTAGACTGGTCCATAAAAGTTAGTTAACAAATTTAGTTAATCGATTTCGCTGCCTGTTAACTTTTCCTAGCAAGTGATGACTTGACTTCAGTTGAAGAGTGGGTGAAAACCAGTGTTGAAGAGATCTTTCAACCATCTTTTCAACTTCTCAGTAGTATGATCATCTGTGGCATAGTGAGATCAAACCGAAGAACTTAGCGTCTCACAGTATCTACGTAACATTATTGAATCCTGCATCAAGTCTTAGAATTAAGAACCACAGAACGGTTTCATGTTAAAAAGTACCATCCAACCGGTCCATCGTAGTCTTCAATAGTTTTTCAAATGATTTCTCCCTATCCACGATGGGAACTCTTCGTATGTGCAACAAAATTCTCAGAAGTTTTGAAGAAAGCATAGGACCCAGTTAAAATCTACTGGCACTAACCGCTTATATCGATAATAAGGAGAACAAAGCAACTAAATAAAATTTCCAAACAGTTCTCGTCTCAGATGGGTGTTGAACAGAGAATCACTAAATTCAAGGAAGCTCTGGAGAGCTACTTCGTCTTAGCTTGCAACTTGTTATCAGCTTGAACTCTCGAGTCCATGCAGGACCCGGCCCGAGACATCATGTTTTATGAGGAGCATATTGTAAAAAAACTCAGCAACCATGTGCATTTACTTGCACAACAAGCCACATCAACAACAGGACTTCTGTTGATACTACTTTGTCACTCAAGAGAAATTGTGGGTCCAAACCCACTACTCAGTTTTAAGAATTCGGCTATCTGGATCAATGAACCACAGGTCTTCTCCCGGGAGTATGCTACTATTCAGCCACTGGGTGAAAACTCAGTGACTAGCATTTTCTAGCTTCTGCTTATTCGTGATATAGTGGAAAAACTAATCAGCTTTGCTGTTGGAGACCCGTTTAGTATATACCTTAAGCAATTATAGTTTGAGCTTTATTGAGTACTGGGTAGAAGAGGCAGTTGAGTGCCAATCGGCTTCCAACTATTTTTTCATAGCCTGAAGTGAATAAAAACTTCAAAATAGATTTCTTGAAGTTCTAATTGAAAACTATAATCTGTTGGCTCAAACAAGTTGATAAAAAGACCGATGCTCTCGAGTGACACTAGATCACAGTTTCATTTTGTCATAATAACACAACGGTTTTCATCATACATAGACTTAAGGGTTCTCCTAGCTGATAAGTTTTAGTCTTGACCAAAACAGATGCTTCTTGGATTTTAACGGTCTTCTAAATGATGTCGATCTGCAATGGAAACTGCTCTTTATAAGCTTCTTAGCCTGAAAATAATAAGCGATAAACATGCTATACATAATATGGTCATTTTGATCAGCTAAAACTGCAATCAGCGTCCAATTCAGAGGATTGCTTTAATTACAGTCAACTAATTTTCAAACGGTGTTTCATCGCTGAAGATATTCTACTCATTCCAGTAACTTCTGTGCAGAAACGAGTGAGTAAATGAATATATTGAGGTGTTAACTTACTGAACTTTTAAAGTAATTTTCGAGTAACACCAGGTAACACCAAATCTCTTTATGTAAGCGATAATGGAAAAGATTTTATACACCATTACAGAACTATTTTCAAAATCGACTGATTGATGGTCAAACAGTAAGCCAAAAAAATTGGAGAGTTACTCCGAAAGTCAACCTAAAGGCTACTGAAACCACTGATTAACGTCCCTTATTCTACTTCCTTTTATTCAAAAAGAAAACAAACCTAAATGGTTATTTTTAGTAGTTCTTAGTATGACCTTTAAATTCAGACAAATCTGGTCGAGTGATTAATGTTCACAAGACCAGGCTTGCCACTCAGTCTATGGATTATAAACAAAGCTGATAAAAGTAAATGGCAGCTGAGTCACTTCCATATTCTGTCATTTGATGAAACAATACCATGACAATAATACTATTATTTTTAAGCTTATATGAATGAATAGTCTAGTTAATCAAGAGAAAGAGGAAAGGTCACTAGACACCAATGAATGTTAACCATTCTCTCTATCTCTCATAAACAGTGTTTTTAACAGATCGGAATGGATGAAATCTCAAGAGCAGAATGGAATTTATTTTCTGACACGAAAAGTGATCGGAAATAAAAACATAAATTTTGGATGACCATAAGTTAGTAATCCTAGATTGTGGCTAGCTGTGGAATCCAGGACGTGCACTCCGTCCTATTTAGGACTTGTCGACTGGATGTACTTGTCTTCCAATGAGTAATGTTGTTCCTATTATGTCTGTCTAAAACTGAACTCTATGACATCTAGATTATGTACGACAGCGAAAGAGCGAATGAATATACTGGCTACTTCTGCATCAGCTTTGATAGCTAGCGAAAGATGAATTCATACAGCTTGTTGAAGATGAATAGATATCATGTAAATCACTGAATTAAGTGGCTTGTGTCCGTTAATTGACTGACGTCCATTAAATACGATTGCGTAAAGCTAGTGTCAGACTTCCTTCATTATTTCTTCATCCACACAGGTAGTAGATGCTTTTTTAACGCATTATGATTGAAGCTTCAAAGTGTAATGATTTGTCGCGCGATCTTTTAGCTGTGGAATTAGTAACTGTACACAAAACTGATATTCTCCTTAAAATCTCTGTATTCATTTGATGTGTATACGGTTTTCATTGTAAAAACATATTTCATATAAGAGTTGATGCTGATGAGATTTTAATGGAAATATATAATTGGTCATTCAGTTTCACAGTCTAAGTGGTAATAAGACTCCAAATTTTCAACCACCACTGTCATCGTCTGCTTATTGAGAGACCGCCATGTCAGTTATTGGAAAACTTAGGCATAAGATCTTAGATGAATCATGTAAATCGACTAATGAGGTAGTAAACTGTCATAGAGTGGGGTGGCTAGGAAATATGCTAGGCATACCTGGTCTTTCTTTTACGCTGGTGTGTGATGATACCCAAAATAGGTTCAGGTTACATAAAAGTTAAGGTTGGTCAGATTAAAATATGGCATAACACCGTGAACTCCTTAACTGTTGGTCTTGGCCTTGGAGGATAATGGGAACTTTTACTTTGAACTTTACGTAACAACCAAAAGCAGTTGCTGGAGATATCCGGTGACATGGCTCAACATTGATTTCAGTAACCCAGATGCATCCATCCCGTTTCGTCGTCTTAGTCGCTACGTCACATCTTGTTGCTTTATTTACCCCCTCTTCTTTTAGTCTCTTACCTTTCTGAAACTTTTGATAATGTTATTCCCATTCGCTTATTTTTCCTTCTTTTGCGTAGTATCTTGATATGATTATGTGAGGCGTAGCAAGTGGAACCTCGACTCGGTAGGGTCAGGTCTTTTGTTGTTGTTAACTGATTGATAATATAATGTGCACTTTTCGTAAATTTAAGTATGCTAAACTAAACATGTTTTGACCACAGAGACTACAAATAAATGTTGTAAAATCAGCTATGCACCATCTTATCACTTTCCTTTTCTTCTATTCCTGCAGGTCTACTTAAACGATATGATGCTGTCAAACTCTGAACACTTAGTTCCTGTTGGCTCGATAAATGGTTTCACCATTGACGGAGATTCAATCATTACAACTGTACTCTTTGGTGATTTGACCGCTATTGAAAGATACAATTCAAAGCATAATGTAAAAGCAATTCAGTTAAACTATCCAAAAATTATCGAATGTCGTCTAACATCTGATGAATTATTATCTACTGTGTCACGCGATGACAATGGTGAATATTTCAATCCTAATGATGAAGATCACGTTATTAATGGCTTTGACAATGATGATGTTGACAAGAATATCAATGCTGACAGCAATGATGTAAGCAGTGATAATCGACACGATAATATGTGCAGTAGGAAAACTACATCACCAAACGTTAACATCAAGTGTGAACAGAACAATCAAGAGAAATTTATAGAGAATTCACAGGTAACAGAGACTGGGGAATTAGGTGACAAGTCAAATATGCTACAGGAAAAACAAACACTAACGAATAATAATAATAATAACAGTAATAATAATCTTTATGTTTCAAACCAACTAACTAGAGCTTCTTCATATCAACTAGTGTTTGATTCAGACAGTGAGTTAGATGAAAGAGAAGAAGAATTACGTGTTAATGAAAGAGACGAAGGAGACAAAGAGATACACTCAAATAGAGCTATCAATTTATCACTATTCAATCAAACAAGAGCTAAAAGTATCCAGAATCTTTTTCACCACCAGTGTGACAATTTTCAAAGTATGCGTAAAATTATTCAACAACAACCAATTGTCATTGATGGGAGTTATAACAATGACACATTTAATCAACTAACTGATTTAAATCAAGGTTCAAGTGTTCCAATGTTAAATAAACCTTCGGACTATAAAGATTCTATCGAAGTGAATAGTTTAGTTCAGCTCTCCAGAAATTTTTCGTCATCACAGCAACTGGAATTAGTCAAAGAAGAATATGAGGTGGATGATAGCACTGAAGAAAATCCCATCGAAATAGCAAAAGATCATAATGATAGGAGAGAAGACGAAAAGGTTGAAGGGAGAGTACAAAACTCTGAGGTGAATACTACAAAAGTCACCTTGTCTAATTTTGTTCAGTCAATATCTGAATTAACGCAGGATAAATCAGAAATAAACGACATTATGCTGTTAAATGGTGATAATATGAATTCAGAATGTAAAAAGTCAGATGTAAATATGAATTCTTTAAATAATTTAAAACCGGAAGAATGCACTCTTCCAGTATCAGTTGAACCACAGACCTCAGTGATTTCTGAATCAAAAATACCTGTATTTTGTAAAGGTTTGAGCAGTACATTTAATGATGATGTAATGGAATATGCCTCGAAACCTCTTAAATCAGCTTCCAGAGGTAAATTTCAGCCTCGCGAAACTCACTCTTATCCAGATCACTGTTTACTTCCACCTACATATTCAATGGTATCAAATAGGCAAGAACTAATCCGTTCTAGAATTCCAAAAGCTTCACGTTCTTTATCTTACAGTGATGTAGATCAACAAAGTAGTCAACTAATGAACGGCCAGATGAATCAACTTCCTTTATCCAATTCACTGTCTACAAAACCTGTAAGTACACCTACCACTCCTCGAAAATACCTGTCAAATAGAAATTCTATCACTTCAGTATCAAAATCACAAACTAGAAACAGTTCAGCTGAGAAAAGTATGAGTAAAAATCGAATGAATCAAAATCTTTTAAAATTGAATCAATCTTCAAAAGACAGAAAATCTCACAACATATTACCTGGTCATACTAGACCACTTAATGGTGGCAAATGTGATGGTGAATTCTTCAATGAATCTTTAAAACAGTCTCTGACAAAGACTGAACCATCATCACCGTCATCATTTTCTTCTTCTTCTTCTTCAGCGTCATTGTCATCATCAGTGACTTCAGTACATTCTCCTACGAAATCAATATTCAGCTCTAATGGATTTAAGAACAGAAATATGAGAACCCATGGAGAGAAACTGAACTTGCTTACTAATCAGCGCAATCAACAAGTTAGCTTAGTTAACGGTAACACTACTGCATTAAAGTTAACAATAAACCCTAAACTGAAAAGTAAACTGTCTGAAACACTAGAAAACTCGACATCAAACGATGATATAACAAAGGAGGAGATTCTAAATACACTTAGTCAATCGACAATAAATCAACAGTGCACTCTGATTAACCAGTTACACATAACATCAACAACTAAATTAAAACCAAGGGATCAAACAATGTTTTTTAATGGATTACCAGACAACTATGGCACTCTTTACTCTCATGATGCAGGAGTGATAAATTCTGCACAGCCATTGTGTGAAAATAAACACATTTTGAATAATGTAAATAACATTATAAGCAGTAACAATAATAGCAATAAGATTAGTATATTAAAGAATGCTGCAAAACAGGAAAATGAACTGACCATTGAACATTCAATGTTCAATGATCGATCCAGTAATCATACCGATCGAAATAATTCTGTAAAAAAGCATATGAATGGTAAGACGCTCATGAAATCTCCAACAGAATTAAATGAAAGTAAACGAGATACAATAAATTATTCCAAATCTGCACAAAATGGCTATACGGACAGTAACACTAATAAAAACAACACCAATAATAATATTGATATTCAAGGTGAAATGAAGTTGAACTTGAAAGAGAATGATTATTTGAATTCTTCACGGGATACTACTGCACTTCTTACACCTCCATTATCACCAAATTCACAGTCAATGACATGCTTACCGATAAGTAGTCCAACAAGCCCAGTCACCAACTCTATGACATCTATAATGACCGACTCAGTAACCAATGGTTTACATTCTGAAAAATTGAAAAGTTCTAAGACATTTATACAGTCGCCCAGAAAATGGCTTACGCGTAAGTTGTCTCTGTTAAAAAAGCATTGAAGTACAATATCACAGTATTTTAAACAAATCTATGTTGTCATTTTATCTCAATGTCATCATACATCTAGATAATAATGAATGCAAACAGATTCACGTAATACAACAGTGTATCTCGTTACACTTTATACACATGTCAGTCACTTACTTACAAGTGTGGACTACAGGTTAAATGCGATGTGTATACAATTCTTGACAGTTAGTCTTTCATTACATCATTATTTCCTCATCTGAGGCTTTTTGCCTTAATATGCATGCGCTTCATGCAGGCATACTGTCCATAAATCTTCATGAAACACCATAATGTATACACAAAATATGACATGACGTTGCAAATCCCGGGAAACATTTACGCTTTCGACATTTATTATGCATGCCGGTACCTTTCATTCTTTTTTATAACTCTACAGCAATAAAGTCATAATTTCTGGTAAATCTGTATGCTACATTAGATTTGGGTGGAAGTAGGCTATCCGTTATCTTTAGATACATAACAAGCAATGACTTTTTTAATTAATAGATTCGTGATGAAAATTTTGAATATTTCTACGATATACTACTGAGCAGTAATTTGTGTGTTATCTTTCCTTGTGGAATACGTATCCATAGTGTTGATGAGTTTTTTTGCATTCTGCAGCTGAAATGTACTGTAGAATTATGTAAACAGACTATAACTACTGACAGAAACCACTACTACCAGTCTCAGTGTTCCTGTAAACAGAAATATTTCACATAAATCTATTCTTTAGAACATGATGGGCAAAGATGCACCTTTTTAAACAATGCGTCGCATAAAATCCTCAAAATACATAAGTAAATAGTATTTTTAAGCTCTACTCTAGTAATAACTACTTATACATACACCAATCTTTTGATGGTGGTCAACATCAGATGGTCTACTCTTTGGTCTTAATCGAATTCTGTTGTTAACTTTTGGAACGTAGCTCACAGGATATGTGACCCAACACCGAAGCGTGCTTAGCTTCGAATACTAAGGCTGAAAGTATTTGGCAGGAAGCCTTAACTCCGGATTTTGTCTTCGTTAATATGTATATATACATTCATTCATTATTGGGGTAAATGATGACCTGCTGCTCAACTCGGTACCATAGTACATAACCCTATGATCGAGTTATTACTGTTGAGTTAAAATAGTGCAAAGTCATTATAAACTTAGTAGTTAAACGTGAAGCTGAACTAAAAGTCTGTTAGAAATGATTGGGTTCTGCAGTGCGAATAAACACGTAGAGTTGGGAAATTACTCATAGGACAGTCGCTTTATAATAATAATTTTGTAAGAGACAAATATGCATGTAGGTATGAATGCTGAAGATACGTACTTTTTCAAGAAGTCAGCCTTCAGGAAAGCAGTTCATTGACTAAAAAGCGTATACATGTAAGTGGTTGGTGACTGGACATAAATACACCATGTAAACTTGCGAAAACATCGATTGGATCAGATATACGATGTTTACTGTTATCAAGATCATCGTCTTACTAATGTAGATAATTATTACTTGAAATCTCTGCATCCTAACATTTCAAGGAACATACCTTGGAATATAGTCTAATTCAATTCTGAGCAGTATGCAGTTCAGCGCAGGCGATGACAAATCACTTGCAACAAATGACCATAGTACCAAATTATGTTCCATTAGCTTATCTTCCGTAGCAATATTTTAGTATCCAGTACAAATTATGAACTTGGTTGTTTTGACACAGCCCAATAGTGCATTGAAGGCATCTCAAGCCATTCAAAGATAGAATTTAGTGATTTGTGGGGATTTAGATATATTTTAATTTGGTTTTCATCATGGAATGACATCATTTGGAGAAACATTGGAAACCTGAGAGCACTGGAAAGCTGTTTTGCCCTGGCATGGGACTCTTCAGCAGTGCGCACCCGCAACCCCACCAGGGATCTAACCCGTGACCTCTAGGCTCCGTTGTCAGCACGTTCGAACTTCAAAAATCACTTCTCGAAACTAGTCACCAGTGAGCACTAGTTTAATTTAATCTGGGGGTTTGTGGAAATTTAGAGATACTTTAAGTTGTGACTAGTGGAGCATACCTGGTGGTCGTAAGGACAAATACTCAACGATGATATTAAGTAGTGGTGGCGCGGAATCGTGACCTGACAGAAATTGAAAATATGGACCGTTGGATTCCGACTCAGTGATAAAGTCCTGACAACGGAACCTAGAGGTCACGGGTTATATCCCTGGTGGGGTCGTAGGTGCGCACCGCTTAAGAGTCCCATACTGGGACGAAACAGCTGTCCAGTCCTCCCAGGTTTCCAATGTTCCTCCAACTGATGTCATTCCATGAAGTAAACCAATATTCAAAAATACCTTTTAATTGTTTAGAACAAGAAGTATTTCATCGAGAAATTAATTTTCACAACTTTAATATGGTGTGTGAGGATTCATTGATTTCAAAGTGGTATTCAATTTCGGAGCCTCTGAAAACCTCGGGGGACCAGACAGCTTCTTCCTCCTGGTATGGGACACCTCAGCAGTACAAACTCATCACCCCACCTCACTGGGGATCAAACCCATAACCTTCACGTTTCGTGAGAAGCAAGTCACCATTCAGCCACTTTTTTAGAATCCAATTGCCCACATTTACCTATTTCTGTCAATTCAAGATATACAGTGACCTTCATTCAGTGCTATCGTTGAGTATTTGTCCTTATGTCTGACTTAGTTTGCAACACCGATCACGACTTCTCATTAAAACTTCTGGAAATCTCATGTCGAAGTACTGGAAAATGCTTTAATTTGGAGGTGTGTGCGGACTATCTTAGTAGCGTTGTCTTTATGATCCACATTTATGAGTCAATGAATCCGCTTTACAGTAGCCGATGTAAAGCATGTAGATTATAGCAAAATGATCAGTATTGTGAGTAAGTGAAATCATGTCGTTTGGAAGCAAGCTTCGAAGATGAATTGATAATCATTGTACTTCAGTATGGAGGTCTGTGGATATTGGCTAATTTCAGCTTAGTATTTACTCCGGACTAACACAAGTTAAAGAACCTTTGAAAACCTGTGAGTGGTAGAAGGCTGTTTCGTCCTAGCTCTCACTGTTAAGGAGTCCCGTGCTGGAACAAAACAGATATCCAGTGCTCTCAGGTTGTTGTTGGTTCTTCAACTGATGCCAGTTCTAAGTGAATGCTGCCTTGAAATCAGTTTGATGGCAATCATAGTTTAACTGTGATAATATGGGCTAACAGAAAAGAAGATATATTTATAAAGCTGGTAAGTTAAATGACGTAATATAGGTTTAGGAATTGATTAATATAATAAGGAATTAGAATTTTGAGGATGAAAGAAAGTGCAATGTAACAAAAATACGTTAATAACCAGAAGGAAGAAAAGACTTTGGCGATAGAATTTTCTTACAGGTCAAATGCATTGCAAATCAAGTGACTAAATAGACTATTTTTGGATACAGAGTTCAATCTTCAAAGTATAAACTGTCATGGCTTACTTAATTTGAAGCATTTTCAGACATACATCTTTTATAAGGTTTGTACGAACCCTATAGATGACAGAGAAGTTGTTTCCCGCAATTACCAGGTGCTCAGATTTAATAACATGTTCTAATATAGAAATGTAAAGTGGTTTCCTTTACCCTTTATAGAGCCAGATTGGTATATACTCGAAGATACTTTTAGAAAGATGAGGCTGAACACGACTAACATACCTCATTTCACAGGAGTACGTAAGTATACTTTCTAGAGATGAGTGTCATTTTGAAGTAATGATCTATGTGAATACAATAACAAAATGTCAGGCGAGATAGTGGTTAGGTGTTCTCTGGGCTTTGGTATTTTGTCGTAGATGTTTCAACATCAGACTTAGTGACATCCTCAGCACCAAATTCTTTATGAAATTTTGAATATTCATAAAAACTTCATTGACCCTAAAGTAGGTGGGACAATGTAAGAAGTATTTGTCAGAATGCTGTTGAACTGATGCGCCGAGATTACTCTTGTTGATTTCCACAACGTCTGTAATACAAAGATAAGGTAGTCCAACACTTTTCGGTCAACTATGAAGAACCATATATCAGCTGTTAATATCAACGTGGGACCTGACATCACTGCCGCACTTCACACCTGTAAATCAAGGCAGAGTCAAGATGAAAGAAAAAGAAATGAGGAAAGAATTAATCAAAATTATTACAATGTCAAGAGGCAGTATATGTGTATATAAGTGAAGAAACTTAATCTAGCTTAATTTTACCTCCATTGTCTACCAGATGAGACAAGACAACTCTCTTGATGAACTTGTCCACCCATTTCTTCGGCCATGTCAGGTGCACACGGGGACACGGATAAAAACCCTATTAGTCTCGCTTATTTTAATATCCCCACATGAGGAACTAAACTCATATATACACATTAACGAAGCCGTCATCAGTCATATATCCTTGATTCATGTTATTTGCACTGGCTTTAACACCTGCTATCAAACTAGTTGTCAACAACTGAATTCCTTAGCAATCTTATCAAGCAACAAAAAAGATGATATTAGTTGACCCACTTCCAAACACATATACACACACCTCCAATCACTCATTATTTCAACCTTCAATGATGAATTGATTTTACATTGTTTTATTAAGGAGAATTATAAAAAAAATAAAAAAAGTTTAATTTCAAACAAAAATATGTGAAAAAGAGTTGTACCTTTTACTACTGACGATTATATTGTATTTACTACCGTGTTTTATTTGCCATGATAGCGTAAACAACCTCACAACCGCAAACAAATAAAACAATATGTCAAAATACTTCTCAGACGTATATATATATATATATACATCATCACAGTAATCGAAGAAAACAATAAACAGATATATGTCAACAGACAAAAGAAGATTAGGCCAACATGAAAAAGAAAAGCATGCAAATATTACTTGAAGAGTCAGAAATAAATAAGTAAATAAATACTCATAAATTTTCATTGTACACTAAGCATTCAATAAAATCTTAAAGATTTTCAGTAAAAAAAACGAAAATAACAATGCTATTTTTCTTTTAAAGACATTTATTCTCTTTATAACTACAAGCTAATTTAAATTTTGCTCGCCAACTCACCAATTGATCAATGCTATTGAATATTGAAAGGAGTTATTACAAAATACTCATGAGCATATTATTATGCTAAGAATTCATGATTTATGTTTTTATTTTTCGAAAGAATGAATTATTTTTGAGAATAATAGTGTTAAACATATTTTTCTATGATGAAATTAGTAGCTTTTAAAATAAGTAAAATTGTGGAAATACAAATCACCAAATTTGCTCAATATTCAATCGCATACATTTTTCTACATCCACATTTGTAAATTTGAATCATATAAAAATATTTTTTACAGAACATCAGACTAGATTAAGATTGAATTATATCCATTTTATGTGTTATAATCAGTCGCCTTTCATTTTGCTTCAAGTAGTGTATTTGTATTCCGGCTTCATTTACTTTTTGACTTTTTAAATACATGGGTGAGACTACTCCAGTATTTTTAAGTAGTTTCTAAATTGATTCTGAAGAACCGTCAGAAAGTCAGTTGTGATTTGATTCGTCAAGTTCAACTGCTTCTAACTCTGAACTTGATGTTTATAGGCGAAATCCGTGGATGATTAATTTCTGTTGCATCAGGGATTATGAGGTATATTAAATAACCTACGAGCATTCATTACATCAAATATATTGCATGAAATTACAGAGAAATCATTGATGCTCTGCTGGTGACTTTGTTTGTTCGTTTTGAGGTAGATGAGTGAGAATGACAGTAAAGAACTGTGACTCAAAAGAACCACTCTATCAGTTTCGATGATGAAAATCTTGAGAAATTTTAAAGCAGCCTACCTGATTGCAGAAGATCATCCACAAACCACGAAAAGTTAGAAACTTGGATCATCATAGTTCAG